CTTCTTCTTCGTCTGTTTGTTGTTGTCGCTTTTTCTTTTCTGCCATTCACAAAAACAATAAGGGGAATCGTCGGAAACCCCAACAGCCGCAAACTTTCAGGTGTAAACGGTCAAGCACGCGCCCTCAGTCAGTGAGTCCTATTTTCGTTGTTCTCTCCTTGCTGCCTCGTCCTCTGGCGGTAGATGCTCACACGAGTCTTGCGGGCCCCGACTGTCGGTGGATTGGCCTTAATTATGTCCATAACCTTTTCTTTATCCGAAAAGTCAAGGAAGACGTGGCCATTGGCAGAGTTGTTGCGGAGGGAGACAATGTTAGCTGCCAGTGGACCAAAGGCCGTCTTAATCTCCTCATCTGAAACCTCATAATCAATGTTGAACATGAGGCGATCACCAATAGAAACAGCAGGGGAACGAGGAAACTTGGCAGGGGGCTTTGTGGCCCCTGCACCTCCCGCAGATGATGATGTATGCCGTTGCTCTGTCTGGGTCGGCTTTGCCGGGGCATGGACCTCAGTGGCATCGGCATTCCCGCCATTCTCGGGGATAATCACTCTCAGTGGCTGGCGCTGCTCCCCCTTCGGCTGAGCGCTGGCAAGGCTAGCCCATGTCTTTGGCTTCGATGGCACCGGTGGCTGTTGTCGCTGCACGGTAGCTGCGGTCTCTGGCTCAACAGCAGCTGTCTTATCTGGCGTTGCTGCAGCTGCAGCTGCCTGAAGACCAACAACGGTAGTAGTATTCTTCTTCTGTTGCTGCTGTTCTTTCCTTTCTTCGTCTGCCGCTGACCGGGATGTGAGTAATGCTGAACTTTCCACTGCCTCGGGAGAAACTCCTAATTTTGGCTCTTGGTCGGGCATGACCTCCGGCTCCGGCTGTTCCGTCTCAGCGGATCCAGGGCGTATCAGAATCTGGTGACGGATAAAGTACGCCTCCGAGCCGTAGGCCCCCGCGCCGTATGCCTCAAGAATGTTGACAAACTGAAAGTAGTGACGTGTCGTCTTAGACTCAGCAAACATTGTCACGTACACGCTCACTCCACCGTACAAGGGGACGGCGGAGTAGCTCTCCACGCAGAGCTCGCACCCCTGAAGAATCTGAGCCCATTGCTCTACAGCCCGAGGGACGTCCTCGTTTCGGACTTCTGTTGTGCCGTATACGAAGTCTACGATTGTTAAGGACGAGTTCGGGCCGTACATTTCCGCGAGCTCCGCGGGGTTGGACGCGAGGCGTTCAAAGAACGCGGGGATGAATTGGCAGGCAACCTCTTGAGACGTTAGCATGACTTCGGGTTGTTGCTTGGCGAGGAGATTAGCGTACCTACACTTCCGGCGCCACAAGAAAAAACAAGAAGAAAAAAAAATTTTAAAAGAACACATCCATACACACGTGATTATGTGCTCAAATAGCAGCCACAAAGCCGATACAAAGATCGTTGTGAAAGGAGTCGGTTCATACAGAACTCGGCATCAAGGAACAACTGAAAACAACAACAGGATTTGTAATTTGGGCACTGCCACTTGATACCAAACCAACACCACTAGACCGCTTTCAAGTCATCGCAGGGGATTGCCCACTTTTTGAAGGTCGCCACACACAATGAAACAGTTCGAGAGTCAACGGGTGATTCGGTCGCCTTCAACGCAGCGATGAGTCGCCGGACACTGTCAACAT